TCGAGCTGTGTTTCCATCATTTGTTGTTCCAAACCCTTGCTTGACTTGGTCAATTATCAAACCTGTTTTAATTTTGAACTCTTTTTGGATACGGGCTTTAGTTTCAATAAATTTAGCCTTATTTTCCATTCTGACTTGCCATGTCTTAAAAGGCAGACGGTAGGCTATGTGTAATAGACATTCAAAGAATCGAATCCAGCAATGGAGGGTTGATAACCCAAATTTATAATGATCTGGATTTGGTATTTTGTTTTGTTCAATATTATTCATTTCTGTTGGGCTTGCATGACATATGAAACATCTGCTTGAGGAATTGGTGTTTGTTAAAACATTAGCTACTGCACCGTCAATCATAGTGCAATGCATGATGTAGGAAACTTCAGCAATTCCCTTCTTATTTTTAAAAATATCACATTCCAAATCATTAATCATCTGAATTATTTTATTATATTCTGAATGAATTACCGCCTTTCCTTCTTTCGTATAAACGAATTTCACTGGTCTACAGAACAGCGTAGAAGAGGGAGTTCGGTTGACCCATATTTCATTACCTGATGAGGAATCGATGAGCCTTAAAATGTGAAAAAATTTGGAAAATAGAGAATAGATACATAAGAAAATAATTGATTTTATACGAACTTAAGTGGTAACAAAGCAATTACGAAAATAAATTCATCTGAGAGGTCTTCCGCGGAGAATTTTTGCTTATATCGACTGTGGCCAGAACTGCCATCCATTCCCCATTTACATATAAGTGAAAGTTTGCCCACTGGGTGTTTGTCTGCACAAACTTCTAAGATGTGTTTGGATGTAATATGTACAAGAGCCTTTAAATTAACTTCTGCTGAAGTTTCCGTCGCTTCTATATGTGGTACTAAAATTTGTTTTAATTGGTTTAACGCATACGTGCTTGGGAAAAAATCCGCATGTATATTGTTAGCAACTTTGCGTAGTCTATTATATTTTTCTTCCGATAAATCTAAATCTAAACACAAGGCCAGCGCTTCAAAGGGTTCAAGACACTTCTTTATAGTGTTATCAGGCTTCGTTTCATTTTTTGTTACTTTCCGTGCTGCATAAGTAATTTCTTCCGCACTATGTTCTTCAAGTATTTTACTAACCTTTCGCAATTTTTGATATGTCAAATACAATTTATTCATGAAATTTTGAACTCGCGTTGAGCAACATTTTCCACTAATAGTAAAACGTTGAAATTTTTGCACAGGTAATGTAATTACTTAGGTGAACAAAATTATAAAAAGACTCAATCAAAAAAAAAAAAAAATATAAAAAAATTGGACCTCCCTGATGTGCATACATTTGTACTGTCATTTTCGCAAGCTGTTTTTGTTTGCTGCTTAAGCAAAATAGTACTCTTTATGCAGATGAAGAGTAATAGGTATGTTATTTATTTTTATTTTCTTTTTGTTCGCCTTTCGTCTAATCATTGGGCGCTGTAAGGTGTCTCGATTGCATTTATTTCCTTACCCGAATTGGTTAACATATTATTTGTAAACTGGTGTCATTGCTCTATATATATATATATATGTATATATATATATATGTAAATCTTCGTATACCTTTGTTTTTGGCTCCCATACCGTGATGCATATTTAAGTATTTTAATTAGCTGATAATTTTTTTCATTTCAAAGCACCCTGTACCTCTTAATTTTTTTTTTTGGCACTTTTAGCTTTAATTCAACACCTTATTTTTGAAAAGCGAACCAAAAATTTAGATCTTAGGGCATTCAGAAAAAGTATTGTAAATATATGTAGATCAGCTAAAATAATACCAAAAAAAGGCATTTAGTCACTTTTTCAAAATTGAAAATTTTCAAATATTGGAAAAAGTTGGAAGAGATTTCGATTGTTTCTGTTAGTAGAGGGTCCAAACTACCATAACCAAAAAAAAAA